GAGAATCTGAGCTCAGCCCGCTAGCTAACAGCTACAGTAAACGCCCAATGGCCCAAATTGAATTTGGGCCGATCTAATGGTCACGATTGAATTTTGTATCTGAATTTTAAGTTTTTATCTAAAAATCTAAATCACTAGAAATTTGGAACATCTATTCTTAAAAAATAGGCAAATCTAATCAAAATACCAAAAAATAATTTACAATAATTAAATGGACCAAAGTACCCATAATAGTTCTCAGGGGTATTTAGTCCATTTAATTTTTGTTAATTATTCTTTTAATATTTTTATTAGGTGCGCATTGATGATAAGAGTGGATAACCCAAATTTCAAGTGATTTGGATTTATAGAAAAAATATTAAAATTCAAATACAAGTCATAACTGTCAGATCATAGTTGTTGGAGACGGAAGCACGATCGGCAGCGGGATTGGTTCGGGATTCGCAGAACTGCCCCAAAGTGGAAGCTCCTTGGGGTTAGGATCTGTACAATGATCAAGACAAGGAACGAGATCCTTAGGTTTATGAGAGCAAGATCCCAGGCCAATGGGTTCGATGCTTTGACAAGCAGGAATCTAAGCTCCACTATACATAAAACAAGTAGAGCTAGTATGAGTTCTCTTGGTTAAGAAATCGAGGTTTAAGTATGTCATATAGCAAGGTTCCTCTTGTTCTAATATAAAGATTATTAACTATGTTTGACATATGTTTTAAGTCTTAAGTATCACTCTCAGGAATGGTTAACTATGCCAACTCCTGGTGGGAAGAAGTGGTTAAAGCCGCACCACGATAAAAAAGTATCAACGTCTTATTTTGCTGCATCTAAGAGATTGTACCCAGACGACGATGAGAGCGGTAGAATATGACAACACATAAGTGATTTTATAAGTAATAAAGGAGTCTTCTTACCCCCGACATCTATTTCCAACAGAGGAACAATATTAGTTGTTCTGTGGTGGGATCTATATGGTGGTGGGGTTCCTGAATTATATTCACTAGCTATTGAGGGGTTGTCTCAAAGTGTCAACTCGTCATGTGCTGAGAGGTGTTGGAGTATCTATAGTTATATTCACAATGTTAAGCGGAACAGATTAAATGCTCAACGATCCGAGTCATTGGTTTATGTTCACTACAATGACAAGTTGTTAAGTAGACTGCGATCAGACTATGCAGAGGAGTACAAAGGATGGGACTTTCATCCTAATGATGACCACCTCAAGGATGATGTTAGGGCATTAGAAGCATTATACAACCGCCTTGATGCTGATGATGAGGCTCGTCAGAGTGGCTCCATTACCAAGGCACATCCCTCCCACTACATCTTCACGCCATGACACAAGTTTGGCATGCATCATTCCCTCGGAGTCCCCAACAACCCAAAATCCTACCACTCAAGGGTCATATTCTTCGAATGTAGTCTCCTTTGCTTCCATTGTTTCTCAAAGGTTGGCTCTTCGAAGGAACAAGAGGACAAGAGGAACTACTCTCACTCTCTCTCTCTCTCTCTCTCTTAGGTGTAAAATAAGCTTTTTAAAGCTTGAAACGAAAGCATATATTCTCATCTCCAAACTAAGAGGATTAATCATTGTGATTTAAGAATCTAAAATAATAGGACATCATAAATATAAGATTTTAAATAAAATATATATTCTCACAACTAAGAGAGATGGCATACACAATAGGACTTAATAAAACAATGGTCTAAACTATGCCTAGTTCAAATTAAGAATCTAAAATAATGGAACTTCATGCTATACTAAAAAGGGGCTAGATTTTACCATCATGAAACTTACGATTTCTAAATAATGAGAACTTGGGACAATGGCAATCTCTAACTTGAGATCATATGTTAATGAAAGTATATCCCACAAACATGGAATTCAAGATTTTAATGTACTAAAACCTTAGACAGTGCTTAGACAATGGTTGATGAGAGCGGGGATCTATTTCGAGATGGAACTAGTTCCACTGATTGATGGAACGTGATCCCCTTTTTTTGAGAGCAAGATCCCAAAATCGAAAAACCAAGGTCCCTACAAGATCCCAAGCAGGAACCGTGGGATCGAGGTTCCAGAGCGGGATAGTCACCCTACAAGGTTCCCTTAACTATGCGTCAGATCAACCCAGATTCAATCTAAGGTCGTTGGGGCTTACACTATTACATCAATCCATAGGCTGACAAGATCTTTTCCTATATATATATATATATATATATATATCAAAGTCGACAAACCAAATCATAGTTTCATGAGAATCCATGATTTTGGCAAATTGAATCAGGAAGCATGTTTTGAGTGCAACAAAAACGCCCAAGTCAAATGGGATCAACAGGAGAGGCTAATATGGAGAAATCTGATGTTGCGAATGCCCCACCAGGCAATAACCCTTTGTTGCAAAATTCTTTAGATTGAAAAAAGTAAAACCATATTTTGTGGCTCCCTCCATTCCAAATCAAGTCCCTTTCCAACAACTCAAGACATTTTGAGAAACTTGATGGGTACTCGAAAAAGAGAAATGTAAAACATTGGAAGGTTAAAGAGAGTAAGATTTATAAGAGTGACTCTCTAAACTCTAGTATACCAATGCCCAATATAGAATCTGTGATTCCGTATACAGTGCCACATTCAACATTTAAGTTGAAAGTATGTAATATTCAATCAATGTCAATCAAAACCATGATATAACACGAAATTGGTGAAAATTATAATGAAGATGTCAAGAGACAACTAAGCCCATACCGTAAATAAACATCAAAGCAAGGAGGCAACTACAACCTCATGACAAAAATTCTTTCTAGCCATTGTGTAAAGCACATTGAAGCATTGAATAGGACCTATATTTCGTCTCAATCAAATTCCGCCAATAAAAATTCGATTTTCATCGAATATGGACAAAATTCCAGAAACTAGTTAATTTAAAAAACTAGAACATATAATAAATTAAAAAAAAAACATGTTCAGAATAGAAACAATCACCAGAATACCATATAAAATGGATTCAAATCCATAATCAATATATAAACTCTGTACCATGGGAAGTCAAGAAAACAAATAAAAATTCCACAAAACAATCAAATTTTGACATATTGGAAAAAAAAGGGAATACCTCAGCAACATTCATAAAGAGAAGTGGAAATATTATTTGAACAAATTAGAGCCCAATCTGAAATCCAATTTAAGTTCTCCTCCAATTCACTATCCAGATAACAGCCCGTATGTACTGACAATCTCACAAAGCAAAAGTCAGAGAACTGGTCCTCCGTTAATATTCTCTAAAAATACAGAATAGAACTCGATGCAAATCACCATAAGAGAGACCAAAAGCATGCAAGATGGCGAAATTTAAGAGAGAAAATTGAAAAGAAATGCAACACAATTACCTGACAGGAGTTGCAAGCTTGTAGATTGGAGCTGATGGAAGTCCAGGATTCCAGGGAAAGCTATACTTCTTTTTCTACCTTTCACCTATGGTTTTAGAGTAAGAGAAGGTGGGGGGGGGGGGGGGGGGGGAGAGATGGAGAGCAAGAAAAGGAGGGGGCGTAGGGCCAGAGGGAGAGCGAGAGACTGTATATTCTAGAGAAGAGAAGGGGCTTTGATTGGTTTTATTCATGGTGTTTTATACAATGCCTACTATGGTCCGAGAACGAACTTACATTTTTGTCCCATACGATGCAAAAGATACGTATAATATGATCCATATGATGATGGTAATAATGTGGCTCTAAGAATCATCACCATCAACAATGCCTTGGACAGGGATGGAGGGAAAATGGACAATTGTATCAGGTACATTTTTTGTAGGACCGGACCTCCCTCTATCAAAGTCATTGGTGGGATGGTCATGACTCTTTATCTCCATTAACTCCCTGTGACCATGTGGGTTGCACAACATGCAAGACATTTTCTAGTAGGCAAGTATCATTAAAATGGTCAAACCACCTAAAATAAATAAATTAACTGGTAAAAAATTGAAAAATTTTACCAAAAGGATGGTTATTTTTTAAAATTCTTTCATCTAATTACCTACTCAAGAACTTTATCAAAAATTGTAAAAATTGCACTTGAAGAAGGTTTATAACCCTGAACAAGCAATGGCATTTTAATATCGCAGGAGGTTCAGAGGCAATGGAGTCAGGCGGCAGGACAACATCAAGGTCTCCCACAACATAAAAGAGGATAAAAAAACAAGAAGCATAGTATCCGAAAGAGAAAAATCATACAAATGAAATAAAATCAGAAGAAAATTTTTCAGTTAAAAATCTAAAACTTCAATAAAAAATAAATGGCAACACAAAACCACAGGCACATGCAACATAAAAGCATGTTTAGCTCCATCTCAATGTAGGTAACATGTCAACATCCTCGGTTTAATATGTGATAGTGTACGCTCTATCAAGCATTAAACGAATATTTTTGTACGAATCTGCAGATAACTAAATTGGAGAGCCTGCCTATAATCACATCATTATCATCATTTTTTTGTTGATTAGTTTTCTTCTTTCATCTACCAAAACTGCATAAATTTTTCATAACGGTGACAAATATTTTGAATAAACAAATAGACAGCCTCACCCCTTGCAGGATCATATGCTTATAGTCTTTCAGGCAGATTTCAAGCAACAATGGAAGGGTAGAAATAATTAGAAGGCAAAATATCAACTCAGAGACGATGAAACATTTGTGGTCATTCCTTCGAATAGATTTGCTTCCCTTCTTTTCTTTCTAGGCTGGGCTTTTTTCTTGAACAATCCAAGCTTCAGTACACTCTTTGGAGAAAAACCATAGGACCAACCAAAAGACTTTCTTTTAAGTCTTCCTCTCCCTACAAACAAAAAGACCACATGCATGGCATTAAAAATTGTAAATGGAATAAACTACTCGTGAACTCATTAGCAACCAAATTTATGAACCTACCAAGGAGGAGCAATCAGGGACAATATTTTAGTCCACATGCAATAATAGGAAGAACTTTCTCCATTGCTCTCTACTTTATTTATCACGGATACTTTCAAAATGATCCAGGCACTGAATGTAACTAAAATTTAAACTTTAAAATACTTTTGACAAGGAAATTGTTGTCCCCTATTCGGTTTGCCTTTCTTGACAATTATGACAGTAAGAAAATGTAGTTGCTTGGCTTTTGGAGGCGAATACTCAATAGTCTCAATAGATAAACTTAATGGCAGAGTGGTAATCTTCTTGTACTTTAGTTGCACTACGAGTCTAGACTACATTTCCTACTTTTGTTGTTCTGGTAATATTGTTATTGACCAGAAACTTGTATCAAAAGCAGACCCCTAATAAAAAAATAGAATTAAATGAATATGATTATCTAAGAGAAAGGTGACCATGCATAACCATATAGAAACATGATTCACATTTCAGGGATGATGCTTGATTTGTACAATTAATTGTTTGGTTAACATGTCATTAGACGTAAATTTTTAAGAATGTCAATTTTAAATCCTGGCTTCCACCGAAATTGACTTTACTGGTTTTAACTTCATGTTCATCCCTAGATGGAAATTATTGGAACACTCTAGAAATTGTCTTTCCAATGATTAGCTTTTGGTTGCATGGAAAGCTCCTGAGTTGATGGAAATTAGGAGGCCCCTAGGCGGCCTGCCTGGCACCCTGTGGTGCAAATTCCAAGCACCGCTTTAGAGATTGAGCGTTTCTTTTTTTTTTCACTTTGGGTGTTAAAAAATAAACCCCATGACATTTTTATACAAACCTGGGGGTCAAAATGACCCCCATTGCTCTTTTGGGAGATTTTAAAGAACGAAAAAAATTCCTAGCACCACTATAGAGATTGAGGGTTTGTTTTTTTTTTTCACTTTGGGGGTTTAAAAAATAAACCCCATAACATTTTTATACAAACTTGGGGGTCAAAATGACCCCCATTGCCCTTTTGGGCGAATTTTAAAATCGAAAAACGCCTTACAGCCCTGGGCGCCTGCCTGGGGATCCGCCCAGGTACAACCGCTTGTGTAGGGCCGCCTGGGTCGAGGCGTGCGGTTTTTTTGTTCAGGCCGCCTAGGCGCCGGGTGGACCGTTTTTTAAAACCTTGAGAGAGAGTCTACCCATGCCATGTCCAGGTCCAAGGGAGAAAATATAATAACTACCTCCAATGCAAGCAAAAGTACTTTCTTCTTGTAAAAACTCAAGAATCCTTAATTCGTATACAATGAATATAAGTCATGGACACAATATGGAAGTTTCTTATGATATGGTCATAGCACTATAACAGTCTTCATCAATGGTAACAGCAACACGGTAAGTGCAGCCCAAGCACTTTGAATTATTGACATGTTTGGTAGGATCCATTCTCCAACATCATTGTTTAAACCAATGATGCGATCATGATGGCCCTCTGTGGCCATACTATTTCCCACGTCAGTTAGGTTATTGTCTTTTTTTACCAAAACTAAAAAACCTAAGATTGCATTTTCGGTCTTGTGAAAGTTTTGTAAAAGAGCGTTGCTTTTTTTATGTCAATATTAAAAAACCGGTGTCAATTTTGGTAAACATGTTTAAACACACTTCCCCCTTTTCTCAAGTTTTAAGGCATCAGCTTGACTGAATTTTTCCAACTCAGACTGAATTTTTCCAACTCACCCTCAACATATAGACAATATTAGCTCCAAGGTAACCAAGGAAGTGAATATTGACTCCAGAGTAACAAACGAAATGTAATTTGTAATGTAGAAAACAAGTACTCATGAAATAGAACATCTGATCTATGTTAAGCATGGCCAGTCGCGTCACCCTTCATATCAGTTACTTCATGACATGAATCCTATGTTCCTCTGCATGTCATTTTTAATTATCCGCACATTATTTGATCCATAAATGTGCACTGGAAGAACAAATGACGTAGACTAAACTTTAAGTTGATTAAAAAGTAAGTAAAAGACATTTCCCAAAAGATGCCTTCTAAATGGCTGCTAACTTGAATAATCAAAATGACAATCCTATTCTTTTTTGTACTTAAAAATGGTATTGCTACCAGACTGAAGAGAGTTTGGAAGGCAGAAGACCTGAGATAGTGTCGAGACGATAGAGCAAAGGTGCCACTGACTCATCTCAAAGCCCAACCTTGTGCCTAGAAAGGATTTGAAAGGCACAATCATCAATGTTGGAACAACATAGAACTTTTAAATAGACTGATACCATAGGGGGATTTCTCTCTGATCTTATAATCCATCTGATCAATCTAAAGAGAGTCCCCCTAAGTAAAATCCCTCCATCGATACACCAGTTTACTCGGGGGAAAAACATTGAGATGAAAATATTGTCAAACATTCATTACTAATATTGTTGTGAGGTGCCCCTTGAAGAAGCATGAAAACAAAAAATACTGAGTTATGTGTGTGTATCCCATGAGTCCATGAATTTCTGAAATTTCAACAACCAACACACACTTCTGACAAATGGAACTGAATTATATCAGCCAAATGAAAGATGCAAGAGGAAAACCATCAACCAATGAAGTTCGAAGTAAGAAACTACAATTATTATCAACACATGAGAGCTCAAATGCATAGCACCACTAGCAGATGACATAAAACAGCCTTTAAATAGATTAGAATTTCTTTTTTTTCCCTTAAATAGGTAAAGCTCAAGAATTTGTCTCCATTCCCATTATCTAAGCAAATGAAAAAGGATTAACCTGTCCAATTCAACCCAATGGTTAAGTACGACTCTCAAGTAGTTATGAATAGGTTCAAACTTAAATATGAAAATTCAAAAGGAAGTACATCTCATTGGGAAGTATTTCTGAATTGTTTCTTTGTCATTAAAGGGAAGGTAAGTAAACCAAGTCTTAGGGCAAATAACAAACCCTTCCTCCCAGAGTTTGATATTATAGAGAATGCCCCTCCTTGGTCAGAGGGAAAGAACTTAAGCTGTTGTCACAACAGGAACTTTTGGATAGTGGGAAATCTTCTCACGCACTTTATCATTTAGAATATATCAAAATTTAAGGACTTAACACTTGTAAAATGCACGACACTGCATTTCCACATTATTTCAATGCACTAGTGGGGGCCCACACCCCAAAAAATTTATTTCCCAAGCCCCTTCCACCCCACCACTCCCCCACCCCACCCAAAAAAAAAGGTAATATATCTTCTGGTTATGAAATACATGAAAGTTAAATTATATTACTACAAACGAAGTTTGAATTGAATTTCTAAAGAAAAATAAGAAAGTGATATTAGTAAGCACTAGATTTGCAACTATAGAGCAAAAGATTAAAAACACATAGTTATCAATTAGTTTACCAAAAGTCCATTACTAGTCAACACAAGGAGAATAAGTTCAACTTTAAGACTCGTTACCTGGTTTGTAAGTGTTTAATAATGGCATCCCACTTCCAACCAGATCCTCTTTGTGTTGTTGTTCCTCAGACTGAATCAATTGCACAGGTGAAGATAAACCCTCTACTTCAGATACCACTTTTTGATTATCCAAACTGATCTGGTCCATATCAATAGCAGTAGATGCATTAATATGATCTGTATGCGATCCATTTCCAATCGGATGTTCTTGTAGATGTGTTAATTGGTGCAGCTGCTCATACAAAGTTAAATCATGAGCAGAGGAAACATCTTCCCGCCCACATGAACTTTTAGTGCCCGCATCAATAACTGTTGTTAGTTCAATATCACATGCAGATGACCCAATAGCCACAACGTCATCCGATGGCACTACATTACCCAAGCATCTAACTGATTCTGACAAACTAGATATCAAACTTTCAGGTGCACAAGTATTTACAATACGTGAATTCTCATAACTAGAATCATTGTTGCATTCTTCTTGAAGATTGTAAGGTTCACTGTCAGGAAGGGAGCTTTGAGCTAGAGATGAACTCCCATTGTTGAAAGAAAACAGAATCTCACGGCTTCTATGTGGGAAGGAATCAGGTAATCCTTTGCAAGCATTAGTGTCCTCAGGAATAGGAGCTTCTATGACCGATCCTGAGATGTTCATATCTTCAACCACAGAATCATTCCCCAATGTTTGACAAGTGCCTCTAGTTTCCGAAAGTGGCAATTGAACTGCTTTATAAATGGGACTTAGTAGTTTCTCTTCATCACCGACCAAAGGTTTGGAGACATAATCTGCAAAAATAGTAGTTTGAGGACTGGTTGCCATGTCAGAGAAACCTGTCCCTTTACTGGTGGCCACTGCAGGCTTCTGATCTTTTACATGTTGAATTTCATTCAACTGATTGTTCATTTGTGGCAATGTAATCAAAGCTTCAATATTATCAGAGGGTGCACTTAACTCTTTGCGCGAGGAAGCCTGCTTCCTTTTTGTTACAGGAGATGAAGAGAGAGAATCAACTTTTGTGGGTTGACAAATTGAAAAGTCTTGCACCAAAATCAGGTCACCTTCACCACTTGAAATAGGATCCCAAGTGTTACACTCTACAAGCCAAGCTTTAGTAGGATCTAGAACTTCATTTTGGTATATCCTTTCCACTCTGATGGCCCCCTGGTAGCACTGCTTCTTCCTTAATGCCTTAGATATCAGAGACCTGCATTGCATCAAAATAAGAAATTAGATTATTTAAGAATTATGAACTCCCCATGCCACAATATTTAAAAAGCAATGATTCACGTAGAAAAATTATAAATGTTATACCTGCAGTTCTTGGACACAGCTGCCTTGGCTTTATCCATAGAAAGTCCAAACAAGGTCAACAAGTTTGCAACATCATATGGACCTCTGAGTTCATTCACAGTACGTGAACCACTTGAAATTATAAGATTTTTCCCACGAGTCCAATCAATTAATAGCTGCAAAAAGAGGAAGGAATAGGGATATGCATAATAATGCTGCGATGGAATCGGCAATTACAGAAAGATGCTTAAAACTGGTTAGATCGGAACCCGCCAGTGGCCGGTTCCGGTTTTGACTGGTTTTGGTGACCGGTCGGGTATTTAAAAAAAAATATATATAATCCCCAAAATAATGGATTTTATTTGTAATGTATTTTTTTTAATGGTTTTTGTTACTATGGAAAAGACTGGAAATTATTTTGGTCATTAATACTTATTTTTACATTTTTCCATCTTTTTTTAGAAAATTTAAAAAATACCCCTAGGTACAAATCGATTCTTTAAAATTCATTTTTTTCATTAATTTTCAACTTCATTTGGATGTGTTTTGTTTAATAGTTATTTAAATATACTTTTCATATTTTATTAGATTTTTTTTTTATGTTTTTTTTTATTTGTTTCAACAGTTTTTTTGACCACCCAAGACTTGCCCAGTTAGAACAGTTGAATCGGCCGGTTTACTGGTTTGCCAGTTGAACCGCTTCTGGTTTATCGGTTAGCCAGTCGAAACTAGGGTGAGATTTCGGATTGCCTAGGATGCTATGTTTGTTAGCTTTCTGATCTCATAAGTGGTACAGGGTCAATAGCGAGCTTCAACATACCAATAGGCAGCTTGCCTCATCAAACTTTTTGTTTGACCCTCAACTGTTCACTAAGTGCTGGTGTCCTATTCCCAAATCAAGTTAGTCACTCCACTGGGTAGAACACTTCCCATATACCACCTACAAGATGATGGACAATTTAGTATTGTTGTATAGTGTGTCTGAATGCTGTATGGCATACCTAAATAGCAAGGGGCCAAGTTCTCACAAGATTCAACCACCCAAACCACAAGGGCAACAAAAGTTGTAGCACAGCCCATGAAACTCCCACCAAGTTCATAAATAAACTATATATACACTTTGAACACACACACAATACACAAGAACGTGATCTGTAGTCCACTCAATGTCTTTACAAAAACTAAAGTAACTTGGAGTTAGATACCCAGTGTTCAAGGTTGTTCCTTGTGAGTATTTGTTCGATTGTTTTTCGGCAATAAAAAACAAGCACCATCTCCCCCATCCAGATATCCTTAGGGCATGATTGATTCATGGAAGCTGCAGCTGCCAAAAGCCATGGCTTCCACAACTGTAGCACTTACTGCATTTGTTACTTAGGAACTATGAAACTTGTTTGGATGCCACTGCTTCCAACGGCTTCCGAAACAACATAAATAAATGTGCCCTGCTTCCATGGGTTAGTGCTGCTTCCATGCTAACCCATGGAAGCAGCAGCTTTCAAAGGCTGCAGAAGCAAAGCCTTTGGTAACCCCCTCTTCAACAAAACAAACACACCCTAAAAGTTCAATAATCTCCATTAATGGGATAAAGGCATGCCCTTCCATACTCAGAAGCGCATTGTCTTGTCGATACCCTCATCCCTTGACGACATCCCAAAACTTGGGAACAATAAGACCTAACCACTCCTCAGTCAAAAACAAACCCACACTCAGATATCAAGCATCAACACCAAGCATCCCCAAGTACATTCGCCACGAACAAGATGTCACTCCAAAACATGTCCTTGCAACCATTTCCAGCCCCAAGTACATTCGCCACGAACAAGATGTCATCCCAAAACATGTCCTTGCAACCATTTCCAGCCCCAAGTACATTCACCACAAACATGATGTCATCCCAAAACATGTCCCTGCAACCATTTCCAGCCCCAAGTACATTCACCACAAACATGATGTCATCCCAAAACAAGTCCTTGCAACCATTTCCAGCCCCAAGTACATTCACCACAAACATGATGTCATCCCAAAACATGTCCTTGCAACCGTTTCCAAGACTTAAGTTTGAACCCCTTCCATAAGTCCAAGCCAAGAATACGCAAGGCATCAGAAACAACAACATTAATCAACCTATTTGGGGTAGAAAGGATCAAAATTCAATGGAAGAGCAAAAAACCAAAGAGAAATAGCCAACTAGAGAATGATACGTGAGGACATAGGTGCTGGGAATGGAAGCAACAAGAGCTCCAGGATTGGGAAAGGGAGAGCGAAGCAAGATAGGCTCGAAGATCTTTTGGTCAGGGGAACAGGGTTTGTGCATGTTCAGGTAAAGGGATTGAGATCCCTGATTTTTAAGGAGCGCATTCCATATCTGTACAGGAGTGAATCCCTTATTGAGTGGGACACCATGATTAGCATCGAGATTCCCAAAGTTCACTTATCCACTTTACTGGGATTTGGGAGCGAATTCTATTGAACAAGGTGAGGTGTTTCAACTTTTTCCAAATTCACAAACCCAAGTATCAATGTAAACAAGAATCACGTAATTGAAATTCTCTGACATTTTGTTATCAGTGGGATATGATTTCACACAAGTAGTGATACAAAAAATCCAATGTGGTGATGTAATAATACCTAAGTCCTGGAGCACAAAAGAAGGTTTTTTTTTTTTTTTTTAGTGTTAACAAAATTATTATTAAAATAGTTAATGAGAGTCCCCTGATGGGCAAGACTCTCTGCTAAGAAGAATAGGCCCACTGGCCCTATACAAAATGTGATACAAAGACTGCCCCCTCACAAGTATACAAAATGGGGTAAGAGATATTCCTTTACAAAGTACCGGAACATGGGGTTATAACAGTCCCCTTGAAATATCCACAGACACTTTACGAAAATAACAAAAAGATGCTGCACAGTGTTAGGCCTGCAATATGCAAAATCGTGTAGCAAGCCAAATCTAGTCATCCTCATGGGCTTTAGCTCCGTCCTTCGCGAGAAGGTCCGCAAAGGCGTTTGACGTCCTCGGTGTATGCTTCTATGAGACGTACATACCCCTGCAAATATGTTCAATCTCGTCAAACAAAGGCAAAAGATACCAGGGGGGCGACACTTCCCTGGAGGCCCAAGTGATAATATTTTGGGCGTCGCCCTCCACAACAAGATGTTGTCCCCAAGAGCTTTCGAAACTTTGCAGGCCCTTGAGTAGCGCAAGAGATTCAGCATGTTGTGAATCTTGCACCCCTATGTACTCTGAGTACGTGAAGAGAACATTGTGTTGGTGGTCTCGAAATACTCCTATCCCCACATGACCTGGATTACCTAAGGAGCAGCCATCAAAATTAAGTTTGACTGCTCCTTGGGGGGGGTGGTTTCCATGTGGCCACGATTTTCTTGTTCTTACTAGGCCTGTGTAGTAGGATGTTCTTCCATTGAGGTAGGATGGAGTTTGCTGGAATACCATTGAAATGGTCATTTTTTGTCACCCAAAAAGTTACTAAGGCTGTAACTTTTTGAAAAAGAGTTGGAACCAGAGTGACTTGTCCCCTAAAAATTCTGACATTCCTTTCTTTCCAAAGCGTCCAGATGGTTGCTGCCACTGAAGCTTTTCATCAGATTTTCCCTGCTTTCGGCCAATGGGAGTAGGGGTTCAGAGCAATCAGATCCTTGATCGACTGTGGAATCACCCAGTCTACCCCAAAAAGTTGTAATACGCAACCCCAAAGGTCATGTGCTACCTTTCAAAGGAGGAAAAGGTGAAAGTTGGATTCCTCCTCGCTTAAGCACATGCTGCACCTGTTTGGAATGGGGATCCCTTTTCTTTGCAGGTGATCAATAGTTAGTGCCTTATAAGATGCAGCTAACCAATTGAAAGTTTGCACCTTTGGGGGGGCTAAAGTTTGCCGTACCTGGGAAAGAATCGAGGTGGGATTGAGACGGAAAGTGGGAGGTTGAGATAGGGTCTTGTAAAAGGAGGCCACTGAGAATTCTCCTGATGGAACTAGGGACCATACCAGCTTGTCACTTCCATGGACCGGAATAAAGGTACTGTGCAGCATAGATGAGAGAGAAAGGAACTGATTTATTTCTTCATTAGTAAGATTCCTTCTAAATGAAGGTTGCCATCGTCTCCTACCACCCTGTGGTCTAAGTTCATCATCAATTGTGGAATCTCTCTTGGATGCTAAAGCATAGAGAGAAGGGGAGCATTCCCTTAGTGGTGCGTGCCCTATCCAGAGATCGGACCAAAAAAGAACTCTTCTGCCTTCTCTAGGATGCAGCCTGATAAATTTTTTGAACATTGCAAGGGAGGGTAGAAAGGATCTCCACGTCCCTGACGCATTGGACCATGGTTTTTTCTCCGGTATCCAAATATGTTCCGGAATATTGTACTTAATGCGGAGCACCATTGCCCATAGAGATTCAGTTTGGGTTACCTAGTAGGACAAGGTTTTGCTTTCTTAACACTCTGATACCCAGTCCTCCCTGTTTCTTGGGTAGACTGACTTTGTCCCAAGAAACCAGGTGGAACTTAGTCTTTATCTACCTGTCCTGACCAGAGGAAGTTTCTCATGAGCTGGTCAATTCGATTAGCCACTGAAGCTGGCATTTGAAACAGCTATATGAGATATATCGGCACATTGGGGAGAGTCGCCTTGATGAGGGTGACTCTCCCTGCTTGAGAGAGAAATCTCCCTTTCCATCCAGCCAATCTTCTATCAACCTTGCTAATGACGTGGGACCAATGTCTTTTTTTCGGTTTACCTAGGCCAAGAGGAAGGCCAAGGTAGGTTATTGGGAGGTCTTCAACGTTACATTCCCAGGAAGGGATAAGCTCTTTGATCTGGTTATTAGTTAAAGCTATCCCCATCATGTTACACTTCTCCATATTTAACCTCCCGTGGCCAATTGGAAGCACTTGAGGAAAAGTCTTAGGTTTTCTACTTCAAGCTGGGAGGCATCAAGAAAAACCAATGTGTCGTCTTCATATTGCAGATGCGACACAATTGGCCCACGTCACAAAGTTTGGAAACCAGTAAGAAGACCAGCTTGGTATATACAGGCTAGGGACCGGCTAAATACTTCCGTCGAAATGACAAAAAAAAAAGGGGTCCCTCCCCTTGTCGCAGGCCCCTTCAAGACGGGAAGTAGCCTTTGGGGTTCCATTGATGAGAATCGAAAAGAAAGGGCAAGAGTAACAGCCTCTCATCCACATTCTTCATCGATCACCAAAACCCATTCTTAACATCGTCTCATCCAGGAGTGCCCAATTGACGGGGTCATAGGCTTTCTCCCAGTCAATCTTGAAAATCAGACCCGGCCTTTTGGACAAGTGTCTTGAATGGATACTTTCATGAGCAATCAGAGCTCCATCAAGGATCTGTCGATTCTTGATGAACGCTGATTGCGAGGATGAGACGGCAGTAGGGAGGATCTGCTGCAATCTTGTGGCTAGTACCTTCAATAGAATTTTGTACGAGGAGTTGAGTAGGCTTATTGGACGAAAATCCTTGAGTTCCTCAGCTCCTTCTATTTTGGGTACCAGAGTAATGAAGGTGGCGTTAATAGACTTATTCAGTATGCCCCAATGGACAAATTCGTTGAAGAAATTAAGAAAGTCAAGGCAGAAGGTGCTCCAGAAAATTTTGAAGGGGACCCAAGGGAACCCATCTGGGCTAGGAGCTTTGTCCTTAGCTAGGTCATCTAGGGCTTTTAAAATTTCATCTTCAAGGAAAGGCCGCTCCAGCCAAGTAACTTGTTTTGCTGAGAGAGTAAGGAAGTCTAAGGCTGTCATGGCTGGCCGAAGGTCATTTGGGTCAGAGTAAAGATTTTGAAAAAAGGCTAGGATAGCTGACTCAATATCTTCAGGTTGGTCTAGGTACTGGTTGTTGACTTTGATAGTCAAGATAGTGTTTGCCCTCCTGCGGCAGTTAGCTATTTTATGAAAGAAACGGGTGTTAAGGTCCCCCACTTTAAGCCAGTTGATTCTAGAACGTTGGTACCAAAAGAGCTCTTCTTTTTTGAGGGTGGAGAGGTAATCAAGCTTAGTTTGATTTCTGAGTTCAGCTTCACTGGGCAACAAGGGGAGGGATTCTTCAAGGCAATCCAATTCTTGCAAGGAGTTCAGGAGGTTAGACTTAATTTGGGAGTAGTTGCTAGGGAGAGATCGACTCCAATTTTTTAGAGAGGCCTTAAGCAATTGGATTTTAGATTGTAATGTCAAGCCAGCTCCGCCGTTCACTCTTCCATCAAAAGAAGTCCACCAGTTATTTATTAAGGAAGGAAGGGATTTTTCTTCTAGCCATGCCAGTTCAAACCTGAAGGGTTTTGGAAAGAGAGGAGGATAGGACAATGGTCCAAAAAAGGTTTTGGTAGGGCGATGGCGTGCGTACCCGGGAAAGTTTCCTCCCAATCTAAACTTAAGAGAAACCTATCCAGTCCAGAAAGAGAAGGTTGGGTAGAGTGGCTAGACCAGGTAAATCAATTCCCCTACTGAGGAATATCAATGAGAATGAAAGAAGCTTTGTGCCATTGACCTCAGCGATCTCTCTCTCTCTCTCTCTCTCTCTCTCTCTCTCTCTC